TATTTTACCTATAAACAAACCTCCATTTCACCTAATTAAATATCTGGTAAATTATATGTTTAGTACCTCAATTAAAAATGTAATTTACCTTTAATTATCTTTTTAATCTTAATATATATTGTATGTGTTTTTAATTTTAATAGGTTTTATTTATTTTTTTGTACTTTTTGCACTGCTTGCATTTTCTTTGTCTTGGTTGGTTGGCGGCAGTAATAGTCTTGATGTTCGTCGTTCGTCAATATTCATTGTTATCCTATTGGTATGTCATGCTTTGGATCCCAGATGCATTTGAATATGTAATTTACGTTCAAAGATAGTTTTATCACAACGCTCGATTCTGATTCGCGATTGTCGGTGATCTTTCAGTAGTTTAATCTCATGTTGTGGTTCATTTGTCAATGCAGTTGATTCTATTCACATATTTATTTTGTTAGTTTTTTTGAATTAATTTTTATTCAAAGATAGTTTTATCACACGCTCGATTCTGATTCGCGATTGTCGGTGATCTTCAGTAGTTTAATCTCATGTTGTGTTCATTTGTCAATGCAGTTGATTCTATTCACATATTTATTTTGTTAGTTTTTTTGAATTAATTTTTAACATTTTCCTTATATAGTTCTTATAAGATCATAAGTGGCTAATTTCATATTAATGATTATAGAAAATATTCTAATTATGTTTTTTAAACTGTCAATGCATTTTTATTTTTTTTGTATAATTTTTTAAATAATACGAAGTAATTAAAAATATATATTTAGAATTTTTTTAATCATTAATAAATATATCTTTATAAATCCATTACTTAAATTCACTTTTACAAAAATAAATAATAATAGTAATTATTTTTTACTACCGAGATTACTTACGAATTTCATTTTTTCTTTTTCATTCAAAAATCAAAGCAAAACCTTCAAACATTTGATCCTTATTTACGCCAACTAAAACACACACACACACAAATCCCACCCAGCAAACACTTTTCAAACTTACAAAACACCCACACATCACTAAAACAACTCATCAATTCAAAAGGGAAAAAAAAGGCTTTTTCCCTCTGTCTCTCTCAAACTCGTTTTTTCTTTCTCTAAAATTTCCCTCTTTCACTGTCGTTGTATGAAAAATGGAACCTTCTATGAAAGATTCATCTTCCCTTTCTTCCAGCTTAAGCACCTAACGATCTGCTGCTGGGTACGTAACCTCATTGCTCCTTGGCATTATTTCATTGCAATTTTTAGTGTTTAAGTGGACTCAAAATGTCATTTTTAGGTGGATTGTTGTCACCATGTGCATTTATTGTCGTATTCTCAGTTGGGTGGGTCGGTTTTTGCTTTTGTTTCTATCGACGAATCTGTGTTCTTTTGTTTTTCTTCCATGTTTCTAAAAAGGAAAAATAGTGGTATTTTGAAGCTTTTGTTATAGGTGCTATTCGTTTTCTTATTTTGGTGTGGCATTTGGTTTTGGATTCTCTTATTACTCTATTCTTTTCCTGTTGTATGAGTCTTTCTGAAGGTGGAAATTGCATCTTTGTTTCTTTTGAAGTGTGGAAGTGCCTTTTTCTTCTTCTTTTTATCCTTTTTTAAGCTTTTTTTTTAATTCACTGTCTTTTATTTTTCAATAAAAAGGGTTTGGATCCGATTATTTTAAGTCAGCATTTTGAAGTTTGTCTCTGGGATTCTGCTTTTGGGCAATTTTTGCCTTTCTTTGAACAAGGTATGGTCTGGAATGAGCGATTTCCTCTAATTTGGCTTTTAGTTCAAATATCTTCTTTATACTTTTTGGATCTTGTGATGTTCGGAAGAAATGGTGAAGTCAAACTCACTAGATCAGATCATTGAGATAAATAGAGTTTAAGGGTTTATCCTCTAGATTTTTTAGCTTGAAGTTTTGTATAATTTGTTATCCTGTTTATTGAACTCAAACCTTGATCTGAATGACCTTCTGTGTAATTGGGTTCTTTTAATAAAACCTTCTTTTGATTGCTTTTACATTGTTTTTTCTTCTTTTAAATAAAATTCCTCTTGTTGCTTTTACATTGTTTTTCTCCTGCTTATCTTACTGTGTTGGTGAAGTACACTTATTCATGGTCTCAGTGCTTGCTGTAGGCTTTGGATTCGAAACATGTTTATACCTGCATTTGAACTAGTTTTATTTGGTCTCAGCTATCCTATCTATGTGAAAATGATATGATAAATTTTGGTTGTTTTGTTATAAGCAGGGACAGTTTAATCTGTGGGAGAGGGGGGTTGTTATGTCATAGAGCTGGTGATTAATTGATTTGCTGGTAATGTCGAGGATCCCTAAGTGGAAGATTGAGAAGACAAAAATAAAAGTCGTGTTCAGGTTACAATTCCATGCTACACATGTAAGTTGCAATTTGTACTTGTGGAATTTTCTGGCATTTTTATTTAAAATTTTCTATTTGAAGCTAATATTGTTAGACATAAGCTCATGTTACAAGTTGATGAATTGGTAATATGAAAATTATAATGTGTACCAAATTGTACAATGTACCTTATTAAGGTGAATCAAGAACTCAATGGCAATGCGTTGAATGTAGAACTTCAGCTATATTATGTGAATGTTCTATGATGTTCACTTAGATTATGATTTTATCTTTATGTTACTTCTACCATGCAATTACAGTTTCATGATTGCTTGTATCTGGTAAGAAATATATTTTTAATGCATTTTTTTATTTTAGTATTTGGCTGGTGTTTGTAGTTAGGGGGTTTTAGAGGTCAACAATAAAAAAATAGATTGGAAAGTTTACAAAATGGGTGTAGTTTGTTCAATGTCCAAGAGTTTTAAAAGGTCAGCTGCTTGAGGGATTAAATTTTATGCACTAGCCATGAGTTTAGTCTTTTCTGGAACCTGTTCCTTCACCGCAGATTGCATATTTGAGCCTACACCATACCCACTTGTGGATATCATCTTATGTATGAAATAGTGTTGTCAATCCTCTCTCCCCAAATAGACTCCTAATGATTCATGTCAAAAGATGTGACAAGATTTTACACTGGCTGCCCCCTCCTATATTTGGTACTTGGGGCCACCAGTACAAGCACAGGTGGAGAAGAAATTAGAGATTCAGGAACTAATGGGTGTATTTAGGATAACATTCACGTGGTCCTAGTGAAGGATGTGGAGATTACAGAGAGATGGAGGAATATTTTGATAAGCTGTTAAACGATAATCACTCTCAAGATGAGGCTGATTTGACTATACCATTAGAGGACCTAGTTTGCCACACCATGTGTTTGACAAGTCCTGTTAAGATCAAAAGGGCCTTTCGCTAAATTAAGACTAGAATGGTGGTGTGTCCGGATACCATTCCTGTTGAGGTTTAGAATGCCTTGCGAGGTTCAGCCACTCAGGTTGGGTGGTTGACAAACTTGTTTAACAAGATTTGATGAAGTAATAAGATGCCTTATGAGGAGGAAGAGTATTTGGTGCCTTTATATAAAACAACGATGACATTCTTTTGCTCAAATTTTAGAGCAATAACTTATGATATATCATGAAACTTTCAGAAGGTTATTTTTTTATAGGAATGAAGGCCTCATTAAAAACCCCCTTCATGATTAATGGAACCTGCTTCTTAATCAGCGGAACTTTCAGAAGGTTATTGAGCAAGGTTTATAACAACGTGCTAACATTGTGCAAAATTGGTTTGATTCATGTATGGCAATCTACTGTGGAAGTTATTCATTCCCTGCAGAACTTATGGAGAGGTTTGGAGGGGTCAAAGTGAGAATTAAGTATGATTTTGTTGACTTAAAGAAATTTGTGGTAAACTACCTGGGGACATTATTAGGTAGGCTGTGAACTAGTAGGGATTTCCTCTCAAATATGCGTACATGTACAACACCGCAGTCATAAATGTAAGAACTTGTGTGGATTAAAAGATGAGTTTCTAATCACAATAGGGGTTCAACAAGGATTGACATCAAGTCATTGTCTCTTTGCCATAGTATTGGATAGTTGGTCAACTAGACTTCAGTCTTAAACTGGTTGAATCATCTTAATGACTGTTTTCCACCATTTCACATGATTTGTGCATCTGAACTTCCCCACTATATATCCGGTAATCTAATATGTGATTGTTTGTCCATCTTTCATAACTGGAAAACATATTCTGCTGCATCATTCATCTTGCTATGTTTATTTTTCTGAAAAATTCAGATTCCACAAACTGGATGGGATAAACTGTATATATCCTTCATTCCTGCTGATTCTGGGAAAGCAACTGCAAAGACAACCAAAGCAAATGTGAGAAATGGAACTTGCAAATGGGCTGATCCAATCTATGAGACTATGAGGCTTCTTCAAGACATCAAAACTAAGCAGTTCGATGAAAACTCTATAAGCTTGTTGTGGCAATGGTAAGATTCTAATCATTACAGTCCAATTGCAAAACTTAACCACACAAGCAAGTACTCTTAGTTTGACCTAAATGTGAATTATGGAATTTGCCAGATCTGTAGACAGTTTATTACAGTCCTCTAGTTGTAGCAGAATTGATGTTTTTTCATCTCATTTTAACTGCGTTTAACTGTCTTTCATCTTGATCAATTTGGAATCAGGGTTCCTCACGGTCCAGCCTTCTGGGTGAGGCTACCATTAACCTTGCTGATTATGCTGATGCATCAAAGCCTTCTGTTGTTCCAGTGCCACTCATTGGCTGTGATTCTGGAGCTATATTACATGTGAGGACATTTCGATTTCTCAAAGTATTCTTGGTTTATTCTTATCAATTTCTTGTTGGATATCTTGAGTATATTGTAGCTATGCTAAAATATTTTTGTGTAGTGTTGAAGTTTTTTTCTGTTACTAGAGATTCTATGTTTTATGCCTAAATAATCTTTAATTTATATTCGATGACAGATCACTGTACAACTTCTAACCTCTAAAACCGGTTTCAGGTATTTTTTCTGAAAACATTTAAACTTATTGCTTCAGCTAATTTCAATATCCTTATCTGTAACTATGCTTGGTCTCAGGTTTGAACAGCAACGAGAACTTAGAGAGAGGGATTGCAGGTGGGGTCAGATCAAAATAGTCCTGATCAGACTTCATCTGGAAAAGTGTCAGTTTCTGAGGATATCCTCAACAGTCATATGGTTAAGGTTCAGTCCTTTGTTTCTTTCGGATTTCTAGTTGTAACCATATTTTGTATTTTTTTTAAGGTCCTTTGCTTTTGTTTATAGTTCATATTGATCTCTTTGCACATGTACCCACAAATACACATTCTTTGTTGGAGATGCATGATTGACCATAGTTATCTTCTTTATGAGACTTCAATTATTTGTATTCCTCTTGAAAAATAAAGTGATTTTAGGGTTTAGGAGATCACTTATGGAAGAGAAAATGTTGGCATCTATTCCCTGGTTGAATTTAGAATTTTAAAATCATCGAGATTGTATTCAATAGACTTTGATACCTAGAATGCCATTTTTCATTGCATGGGTTTTTATGGCTATGCTGTAGACACCGTCAAAGAGGCTTTGGTTGTGAGCCAATATGAAAAAATGTTACTGAGAAGTCAAGTTGGTTAAATGAGCATGGAAATGCGTGAAATTCTATTTTAAAGCCCTTTAGCAGTCTCTTGCTACAAAACCAATACGCAACAAGTACTTTTCATATCTTTTCAGTTTATTATTTGTTTTACATTTTGGTTGTTTAGGTCTTCTGAAAATCTACATTGTAGGCCCTCTAGTAGTTGCAAGCTTTCTACGAATGAGCAGTATGTGATTTCTGTTGTCTTCTATAATTGGGAGGTAACCTAATCTTTCACCTTTTATTCTGTATATAGGTTAATCCAAGGGTTAGATTTAGAGAAAAATCTAAGGAACACCCTTTGCTTGAAGAAGATGTTGGTTTGAATGAAGACTATGGAGACTCAGCTGTTGGGTTTGATGGCTCTTCTAGTACTTCAGAAATGTTATGCAGAGAAGCATGATACGTCCAGTACTCATGAAATTGACAGCCTAAGTACAGTCTCTGGTGATTTGACTGGGCTTGGTCACAGCCCTCAGCAAGATAAAGGAGATCCCTCAGATCGTCGGTTTTTTGGTTCAGGGTCTAACAATTGGGTTCATGGCTGGAGTTCAGACTATTCCGGGGATAATGACCTAACTGTTGCTTATGAAGAAAATAGCAGACTCCGAGGGTGCTTGGAAGTGGCAGAATCATCTATTCAGGAACTTAAGATGGAAGTAAGCTTGTTGCAAAATCACGCTAGTCAAATAGGTGCTGAAACCGAGAAGTTCTCTCAGCAACTTGTCACTGAGATTTCTTCTGGAGAACGGTTGGCAATAGAGATTTCTGATTTAAAATTAGAGTGTTCAAAGTTGAAAGAAGACCCTGAGCAAATGACAAGTTCTAAACTGTGCTCTTCTCTAACCAGCAAAGAAGCTATTAAGAAAGGTGAGGACCACTTACTCCAAGACTTAGAGGTTGTATTGTCAAAGGGGCTTTTAGTTATGGAGGATAAGATAAGGGAACTTCAAAACAAGGCATGTTTGAATTACTATGAAAGAAAACATATGTTCATTCAAACAGACTTGGAAGCATTGCTTGGCATTCTGAAAGATCTCAAACAGGGAACTCAAAAAGAAATGTTTATTCTTGGGTCACTAGCATCTGAAAGTTTGCAAAATGAAGACTAGCGGAGAAATGAGCCTAACTAATTCTTTCATACCGGCAACCAGTTTTTGATGCAGAGCTTTATCAACCAAACCGGGCATGGTTCCATGCATTAGTGCCTGGTATGCCGCATGAAACTGATTCTATGGTTTCCACTAATGCAATGGAAGGAAAATCTTTGAACATCTGAGAGAGTTGGATGAATCAAAAGCTGAGCGGGAAAGCCTTGCAAAGAAAATGGACCAGATGGAGTGCTACTATGAAGCTCTCGTTCAGGAGCTTGAGGAAAACCAAAGGCAGATGCTGGGAGAATTGCAGTCTCTCAGAAATGAGCATTCTACATGCTTGTTTAGGGTGCAATCTGCTAAGCTGAGACAGAGACTATGCGCCAAGATATGAATGAGCATGTCTTGAGATTGGCTGAAGAAAAACAAGATTTGGAATCTCTGAGCAAGGAACTGGAAAGAAGGGCTATCATTGCAGCAGCACTGAAAGGGCACGCCTTAATTACTCAATTGCGGCGGGCCAGTTGCAAACGGACCTTGAGCTGCTTTCTTCCCAGGTTATGTCTGTGTTTTGAAACAAATGAGAATCTCCTAAGGGAAGCTTTTGTAGATTCTTCACAAAACTCTCGAGAATTCTCTGAAGAATTTCAACCCACCAAGCCCTTGAATTCTCAAAATCAGTATGTTGGTGAAGAACACAGTTGGGTGGAGATATTCTTTTAGAAGATTGAAAAGATCCCTCCATTTGCAGGAAACCCTTTACCAGAAGGTTGAAGAAGAAGTTTGTGAAATACATTACCAAAATGTATACTTCGACGTGTTTTCAAGCACTCTACTTGAAACTCTGCTTGAAGCCAATGATGATATTAAAACAATGAAAGAGAAAATCGATGAGCTTGCATGGCAATTGGAACTTTCACTCGAGTCCAAGGAGTTGTTGATGCAAAGGCTGCAAACAGCTATGGATGATGTTCATTCCCTTAACGAGTACAAGGCTACTTGCATTGCCAAGTATAATGACTTGGCTCGGCAGAAACAAGCTTTGGAAGAAAATGTGGAAAATATCTCCCAAGGAAATCATCTTCTCTGTGAGAAGATAACTGAACTGGAGTGCTGCTTGATGGAGTACAAAAGTTACAAGAGCAAATTTGATGCCTGTGTCACGGAGAAAACAGAGTTGGCTAATTTATTGAAGGAAGGAACTCTGGAAAATGACAACCTTAGAAACAATAACTCTTGTTTGCAGGAAGAGTTGAGAATGATCAAAGCTGAGTTTGATGAATTGGTTCTTGTGAAGGAAAAGCTGCAAAATACTATGGACTTTCTCCGAAACAGGTTTCTTAACTTAATCTCATCCTTTGGCAAATTTTTTGAACCACCCCTCTCAACTGACTTGGTTTGTCAGGATATTGAGTCTGAGGACTTGACATCTGTCATTGCCCAGTTAGATGAGGTCCAGAATAATGCATATGGAAATTTCTTCATCTCTTGAAAGAAAGAAAGATCTGATGGGTGAAAGAGATAAGGCTCAAGTGTCTTTAAGTGTGGTAGAATCGGACATGGTGCTAATGAAAGAGAAGCTCGAATGTGATGTACGAGCTATGATTGATAAAATGGATCTATCCAATGCAGTTGTACAAAAGCTTCAGTTAGAAATTGAAGCTGTTGCCGAAAAGCTCAAGGTGAGCTCTGAAGTTGAAGAAACCAATGCACAGCTGCAGAGAGATCTTTTATTGATCTTGAGCATTTTGAAACGGAGCTACAGCAGCTTACTTCTAAGAATAGGGAGATTGCTGAAGTACTCTTGGTCTTAGAGTCTGTCAATGAAGAACTTGGAAGCAATAAGTTGACTGTGGTTGAACTTGTGGAAGAAAACAAAGCGATGGTTCAATCTTTACAGGATAAATCTGAGGAGGCATACAAGCTTGCTTTGGAAATTAATGGTTTAAAAGAAAGTTTGCATTCTGCACATGATGAGCTGCAAGCAGAAAGAAGCCAAATATAAATTACAGAGTGTGATTACAGATCTTACTTCCCAAATGAAGAAAACCGGAAGTTGTTGTTGCAATTTGACCAACAGAAATCTGAATTGGGCCATCTTAAGCATATGTTATTGGACATAGAATCAGAGAAATCTAGGGTTTGCAGTCTTTTACAGCAGTCCGAGGAGTGCCTCATTGATGCTCTCAAAGAGTCTTCCGCTATTACTTTTCTGGAATCTCAGTTGTCTGAAATGAATGAACTTTCAATAGCTGCAGATGTTAGTCTTATTTTCTTAAGAGCTCAGTACGAAAACTGGACCACTGACCTTGTTCGTCAACTTTCCAGGTCTGAAAGACAACTTGCAGAGCTTCAAAAGAAGCATCATAATTTTGAGAGTATACTTAATGGTTATCTTGCTCGTGAAGCACACTGCATTGAAGAAAATAAAAGATTATCACTGACTCTTGAATCCCTAAAATCAGAGTTAGAAGCTTCCATGGTTGAAAACCAGACACTTCTCAATAAAAATAGCTCTGTAATAGCTGAGCTTCAGGACTACAAAAGTAAGAGCGAAAAGATTGAGTTTGCTTACTCTGAGGATATCAGCATGCACTTGAAGTTGAAAGGCTGAAGCACTTACTTGGCTGCTCAGAAAGAGATTGACAGTCTGATTGTATTGAAGGAAGAACTGGAATTCTGCGTCTTAGTACTCAAAGCTAAATTGGATGAACAGAGCACTCAGATGGATGAAAACCAGATACTTATCAATAAAAATAGCTCTGTAATAGCTGAGCTTCAGGACTACAAAAGTAGGATCGAAAGATTGAGTTTGTTTACTCTGAGGATAACCATCAGCATGCTCTTGAAGTTGAAAGGCTGAAGCACTTACTTGGCTGCTCCCGAGAAGAGATTGATAATCTGATGGTATTGAAGGAAGAACTGGAATTCAATGTCTTAGTACTCAAAGCTAAATTGGATGAACAGACCACTCAAATGATCTTACTGGAAGGGCACAATGATGAAGTGCTGCTGCTGCAGAATCAGTGTAATGACTTCTCAAAGACTTTCTGAACAGATTTTGAAGACTGAAGACTTCAAAACTTGTCCATTCATTTGAAGGAGCTCAAAGATAAGGCTATGCAGAATCCATCCAGGCTCTGGAGAAGAGAGAATCGGAAGCACCACCACCAACTGTTATGCAAGAGTCCTTAAGAATTGCATTTATCAGAGAACAGTATGAAACAAGGCTGCAAGAACTAAATCATCAGTTGGCTGTCTCCAAAAAACATAGCGAGGAAATGCTATGGAAATTACAAGATGCCGTGGATGACATTGAGAATAGAAAGAAATCAGAAGCGTCTCACTTAAAGAGAAATGAAAACTGGGAGTGAAGATCTTGGAACTGGAGGCCGAGTTACAAGCATTGATTTCGGACAAGCGTGAAAAAAAGAGGGCTTATGACATGTTGAAAGCGGAATTGGATTGCTCAATGATTAGCCTTGAATACTGCAAGGAAGAAAACAGAAAGTTGAAGCATGTTTGCAAGAATGTAATGAAGAAACAGAAACTTGAAGCATCTTTGCAAGAATGCAACGGGGAAAACAGAAACTTGAGGCGTCTTTGCAAGAATGTAATGAGGCAAAATCTAGACTCTCAGTTGAACTTAGCATGGTGAAAGAATTGCTCGAGACCTCCAAATTGACTTGAATCTTCTGAAAGAAAGAAATGGAAAACCGAAAGATGCTTGCATTCCTGATGAGCTTGTTGTCATTAATGCTCCAACTCGAGATATTGATCACACACACTTGGGCCAAGATACTTCAGAAAAGTCCAAACAAGCAGAAGGCTTAGTTCCTGTTGGTGTAGGTGACCGCACAATTGCACCCACAGATTTGCAACCTGAGCAGGTAGTTTTTATCAGATTGCTTGGAACATCTTCTCTCACCATGATTGATTCAAGTAGTAATTCTTTGTTTTTGAATGAATTATAAGTCTGGAAACTTCATGTAGCATAGGATTCTGTTGTTTGCATATATTTGTTTTTTCTCTATCTTAGTTTTATGATATAATTTGAGAATTTAGCATTCGATTATGAACTTATTATCAATGCTAAGTGTGCCTTTCTAAGAAAGAACTGAAAATCTATTTGGTCCTAAGGATGACAATGGAAATACATTGCATTATTTTTACTTTGATGTTATCTAGACCTGTCCTAGGCTAGGCTCTAGGCTTAGCATCATCAAATTTGTTAATCTTAAGGTTTGCCTTTCAGCTCTTTTGATGACCTATCCTGCATATGTTTTCTTTTCCTTTTGTTTTTGGACTTCAAAGTTTTCAATTTATTTTTACTGGTTCAAATGTTTAGTTCTATTTTAATTTTATCCCGTTTTCCTTAGAAAGAATCTTGGATAAAGATTTCTTTGACGAAAATATTGTCGACTTTCCCCATTCTATTTACACATGAAATTTCTTTATGGTGATGATTTGCTTAATGTATGTCAGAATCTGGTATCTAATGATACAAATGAAGTTCAAAGTCTGACACTAGTCAATCAATGGAACTTGCCGAAGAGTGATGCAAAGCCTAGCCTTAATCAATGATCGTTTTAAAGCCCAAAGTTTAAGGTCAAGCATAGACCACCTAAATAACGAGGTATGTTTATTGTCAAAGCTGTAAGGTGCCAGTTAGTGATAGAGCCGGGTATATGGGCTAAGGCCCGCGGGCTACCCGTATAACCCGCGGCCCGTGCGGGCTTCGGGCTTCAAAAAATATAGCTCGTTTAAATTGCATGCTTATTAGCCCGGACTGTTAAACCCGTGGGTTTAATGGGTATACCTGCGGGCTCCGCGGGTAGCCCGCTTAATTTAATTATTTTTTTTCAATTTATTTTATGTTGATTTTATTTAGACTTATTGAGACTTTATTAGTGTTATGTGTTGTTTTATTTTAGACTTTGAGACTTAATGGTGTTATGGTGTTATTTATTACTTGTTTATCTTGAGACTTATTGACTTAATAGTGTAATGGACTTTTGGTGTTTTTTAGCCACTTCAGTTTCAGATTAATAGTGTAATTGACTTTTGGTGTTATGGTGTTATTGTGGATCATTTTTTGCTGCTAACTTCCGTTTGACATCAATAGTGTAATTGACTTATGGTGTTATGGTTGTTATTTAAAATTGTACGGGCCGCGAGCCTTAGAATTCAAGACCGTTTAGATTGCAGGTCGCAGGTCGCGGGCCTTAGCATTTAAAATTATTGTTATTTAACGGGTCGCGGGTAAGCCCGTTAGACCGCGGGTTAAATGGTACGGGGTCGTTTAAGCCCGTACCGTCAAAACCCGCGGGCTTAATGGGCAGGTAGCCCGTATACCCAGCTCTAGTTAGTGATGATCTCACCCAAATACAATTGCAATTTCTTGTATTGTTGAGCTTGAGGGAATCATTACATTTGTGGCATACAATTTCTTTAGGATAACATCTAATAATGGTGATTGATTTACTTTTTCCTTTTGGTGCTTAGCTGGAAAGGATGAAAAATGAGAATCTGGTTCTTTCAAAACATACTCAACATTTCAACACCAAGTTTCCCGGTTTACAGCAGGAACTAATGCAGTTAGATAAGGTGGATTGATATGGCTCTCTTCATAAATTTGATTAAGTTATTCAATCAGGCTCTCACTTTTCCCTTTTCACAGGTGAATGAAGAACTGGGAAGCATATATCCTTTGTTTAATGAATATTCAGAAACCGGAAATGCATTAGAACGGGTACTAGCGTTGGAACTTGAGCTTGCCGAGGCATTACAAACAAAGAAGAAATCAAGCATCCTTTTTCAGAGGTATGCAATGTTCTAGAAAAGAAAATTAGTCTGCTTTTCTAAGACAAACCTTTTAAGGAAAGGAATTTGCTTTGGCCTTGAAGATCACTTAAAAGAAAATTGCTATGGATTCTATGTTTAAAGTTCTAAGCATACTGCATATTAATCCCTCTAGAGTGTGTTGCATGAGTGAATGAATTGCATAATATTTTTTTTTGTGGTCCAGCTCTTTCCTGAAACAGCACAATGATGAGGAAGCAGTTCAAAAGTTTCAGGGACATCAATGAACTGATTAAAGACATGGAGATTAAGGGAAGATGTGGAGCTGTGGAGACTGAACTAAAAGAGATGCACGAACGATACTCTCAGCTAAGCCTTCAATTTGCAGAAGTTGAAGGTGAGAGGCAGAAACTCATGATGACTCTCAAGAATATCCGGCAATCGAGGAAAGCTCAAAACTTAATTCGCTCCTCATCAGCCTCTCCTGGAGACCATTCCTGAGCCGTAAAACCAAACTCGGCACTGGATGTCCTCTTAGTAAGAACAAACTCGGCACTGTTAAAGTTTTCCAAGCTTGATACACAATGTTCAAAAGCAAAGCAGCTGTATTTTATGTAAATAAATTTTAAATTTCTCGGCTGTCACAGATTTAGCAGTATCATAAGGTATAGATAGACTTAAACCTCGGCCTTTTTCCCCCGGTCATGGTGATTTATTCTTCTACTGTATAGTGAATCAAATTCTTTGATTGACAGAACTATTTTCATTTCGTTAGTAGCAGCAGTTATTCTACATTTGTGCACGTTTCCCTCAGTCCCTGCTTTTTCATTATTTGCATATCTGCACGAATAAGTGACTTTGATAATAAAAAAATTATTGTTATTTTTTGAGTCTCAGATTCGAACAATATGAATGTTAGGGGTGTAAGCGTTTATGTCAAATGGTTAAGAGTTATCTTATACTTACCCGAAATTAATATATATATATCTGCTCGTTTCTCTGTCCCTGCTTTACCTTGTGTTCTACGCTAGATTTTTCTATCATCTTTCTGGTTTCAATCTACTTTGTTTTCACAATGGGGATATTCATTGATATGATACTCTATTTAAGGTTTGTATAATATCTAGGGTAAATTATACATTTAGTACTTAAATTATCGGTTTTGATCTCTTTTAGTAATTAAATTTTTATTTTTTTTCCAAAATCATAGCTAACATTTAGGTTTTATTTTATTTTAGTACCCTATCGTCAAGAATTTAACGCGTTTAGTACCTAAATTATTAGTTTTGGTCTGTTTTAGTACCAAAACTTTCATTTTTTTCAAAATTTAAGTATGATTTGGGTACTAAATGTGTTTTGCAACCTAAACTTTCAATTTTTCTCAACACTTAAGTTTTGGTACTAAAATGAAATAAAATTAAACTTTAGGTATGATTTTGAAAAAAATTAAAAGTTTAGGTATTAAAATGGATCAAAACTGATAGTTTAGGTACTAAATACGTAGTATTAATTATGTAATTTACCCACAAAAAGTGCCATATTGTAACAATTCTATTAAGTTTTTAAAGTTTTTAACGACAAGGTAGCAAAACGAAACAAAAAGTAAACGTTAGGTATGATTTTAAAACAAATAAAAGTTTAGGTATCAAAATGGGATAAAATAATAGTTAATGTACTAAACGTGTGATTTGCCCAAAAGATAATTGTAAACAATCAAACATGTATTCATCCAATTCTGCAGGTGACAAGAAATTTGAATTTCAAGAGCAGTCTTAACTGAAAAAAAATAAACAAATAATTTCTCACCATAAGTTCCACTTTTCAATCTTTATTTTTTTGATCCATCATCAACTAAGCATAAAATTCAACACTTTTTTTTTGGCCCTCTTTTGCTAAGCCACAATGGACATGTAAGATTTTCTGTAAAGCAAACTCTAGACCTTTTGCTTCTGCAGCCACCAGAACGATGAAGGATTGCAATCTGAACAAATCCGACAGGAAAGCATCGAAGAAACCGTATCACATCCGATTCGGCAGCTCGTCTAAGTACCGTGCATGAACAGCTACTTTTCTTCGGAGAATCATCCTGTTGTTTCTCTGTGGATAAATTTTGGATATGGCATACTGAATCATAGAGAAGGTTTGGCACATGAAACATGGTTCAGAAAGCAAATTTATCGGTCGGGGATTACCGTTATTTTTGTCCGACGAAGGAAGGCGAAGAACGACATGCGTTGTAATTACACCTCCTGGAACTTCAACAACAGGAAGTCTGGACTCAGCAAGTGTCCTGTTGTTTTCAAGTATCTTTCCAGCATTGATTAGCTTCACATCCTGTATTGTCTTGGGGCAATTTTCTTTGTCTGCAAGCAGAGAAAAGAGTATTTTCACATGAAAACAGAAGCTGATTATACCAAATCACAATGTTATAAGCTACATTACACTGAAGTAATTGTGTTTGACATATGAGTTCAGTCATACTAGAAACATGAGGAAAATAAAATCCTTCAAATACAAGAGTCATTCGTCGGAATCGGTATATTTGACTCGTAGAAGTAACTAATTTTCCTCCAATCATCTAATCCTATATCGAAAATTCAGATTACACAATGGAATCTGTATAATCATAGGCGTGCTTGAAAGGCAGAGTGAGGCAATGCTTCTAACCTTGTCATCCTCAATTAACATAGACAAATAAGAACAGTGTTTCAGATATGTTCTTACACAAGTCTTATCTCTTTAGTTAACAGTTAGAATTCAACAAAACCAATGACATCTTCATTCAAGAAATCAGTATGTTATTGATCTAAATTCTTGTGCCTTTGAAACCCATTTTTCTGTCTCCTAAGATGAACCAAAACAACTCTTCATAAACTCAACTAATTTGCAGGCATACACATGAAAAAAATGAATAAGTTCAACATGTAATTGAAGAGGTAAAAGTGGAAAAAGTTAGGGTAACCTTTAGGCCAGTGAGCAAGTATTTCTCTTTGAGAGAAGCAACAGTTGTATCTGGACTATACTTGGTTGGACCAATATCAGTTCCATATGCAAGCCTGAATTTCAGCTCCACTAGATCTTCTCCAGCCATAGATGTGTTCTCCCACCAAATTATCTCCACTCAAACTTGCATTGCAGAAGAAATTATCAATAACCCATGTTTTTCTGTGCAAAATTCACAGCAAAAGTTAATCACTTGAAGCTTGTGGAGATTTCAAACTCCAAGAAGGAAAAAAATTCGAAATTTTTGTTATGAACAAGCAAGACATGGAGAGAGAGAAGGATCTTAGCAATTTGATGAAGGAGGAGAAGAATGAAACCGCCAAAATTGGAACTTTTCAACTGAGATTATTGCCTGAATCTAACCGAAAATTCTAATGATATGGAAAGTGACACTTTTACATTGTCATCGTGAATAACCCAAGTTAAAAACTCCATTAAAAAAATGTATGTAATTTTCTTAAGATAAATTACGTGTAGTATTTATATTATTATTTTTATTTTAAACTTTATTTTTTTCAAAGCCATATCTATCATTTAATTTAGATTTCGTTTTGATACCGGGACGGTTATATGTGACATTTTTATAGGTAAATTATATTATTCACTACTCAACTATCTTCTCTCTCTGATTTTAGCCACTAAAATTTAAAATTTTCAATTTAATTACTCAACTTTCAAATTGTTCATGCTTTAATCATTCTAATTTATTTTATTAGTATTTGTTGTGACATGACACTTATATTATTATTTTTTTACTATATAATTAAAATAAAATTAAATAAATTTAAATTATACCAAACCCCAAAAATTATGCCACAAACCCTAAATCACAAACCCCTCATATATTAATAAAATAAGTTAGAGTGACTCATTTTAACAACAAGAGGTATCCGAGGAAGCATTGCGATTGAAATTATTTCCATATTGTTTGAGGGATTCTACTAGGACATGGTTGAATTCTTTGCCATCAAGATCAATAACCTCATGGGACGCTCAAACACAAATTCTTTTTGAGGTACCAACTGCCTACTATGAATGCACGATTAAGAAATGACATTACCTCATTTAGAAAATCGGTGGATGAAACCTTGGATGAAGCATGAGAGAGATTTAAGGATTTATTGAGGAAGTGCCTGATGCATGATTTCTAGTATTTGTCACAAATCAAGATATTCTACAATGGTCTAAATGCACAAATGAAAATGGTGGTTGAAGTTTCAATAAATGGGGCTTTCTAAGATATATCCTACAATAAGGATCATGATATTTGGGAGAGGATTGTGAATAATGACTATCGGTACTCAACATCAAGAATTGCTAAGGGGAGGCGAGTTGCTGGAGCAATGGAGTTGGATGCGATCACTTCTTTGTCAACTTAAATGTCATTCCTAACAAATATGATTAAAGAGATGTAAAGGCCAATTGAATGCACGAAGTAAAATTGGACTAGGTCTCATGCGTCTATTGTTGTGAGAATTATCTCTTTGATGATTTTCCTTAAAACCACACATCAATGTGCTATATAGGAAGTTACAATAGAGGAAAAAATAATCCTTATTTGAATTCTTACAATTCTGGTTTGAGGAATCACCCTAATTTTTCTTAGAATAATCAAGGAGCATCAAGTTTAAATCCAGATCAAAGGCAACGAAATGCTAATATTCCTACTGGTTACAATCAACAGAGGGTATTGCGACTGTAAAAAGCAGTGCCCGAGCAAAAAGTATCTCTACTGGAGTCACTGCTGAAGGAATATGTGGATAAAAATGATATGATCATACAAAATCAATCTACTATCATTTAGAGTCAATTTGTTTCATTTAGGAATTTAGAGACTTGTAGATACGCATTTTCGTCCCGGATTCATTTAGTGTATATAATAGTATAATACATAGTTTTAGAGAACGTCTTTCAAAGCATACAATATATGGTTTTTTAAACAAAATAGGTTTTTGAAAATACCGTTTAATATATATATATATATATATATATTATAGTTTTGAGAATATTTTTGAAAATATATATAATATATAGTTTTGAAAACATTTTTCGAAAATATATATAATATGTAGTTTTGAAAACATTTTCGAAAATATATAATATGTAGTTTTGAAAACATTTTTCAAAATATATAATGTAGTTTTGAAAACATTTTTCGAAAATATATATAATATATAGTTTTGAAACATTTTTTTTGAAAATATATAATATATAGTTTTGATTTTTTTTTTCGAAAATATGTATATATATAGTTTTAAAACATTTTTGAAATATATATATATATATATATATATATATATTATATATATATATAATATATATATATATATAATATATATATATAGTTTTGGAAACATTTTTGAAAATATATATATAATATAGTTTTGAAAATATATAATATATAGCTTTAAAACGTTTTGAAAATATAATATATAGTTTAAAAAATATTTTTGAAAACATATATAATATATAGTTTTCTAAAAAATATGTTTGGAAATGTATAATATAATTTTTAAAAAATGGTTTTGATATTTTGGTCCAGTCCAAGTCCAGGGTTCGAAACAAGCCCAAGAGCCAGCAAGCCTGACCCAGCAAACCAGCCCGTTAGGGGGCCTGACCCAGCCCAAAACAAACTATGGTTTCGTAATAAGGAAGGGTGCCGCTGGGAGCGCGCGTGGAGGCCACGCGCCAGCACGGTTCGTAAACCGACCGCGATTTTCGCAAGGTCGGTGTAACACTATGCACGAATAGTACTCGGCCGAACGTCCAGCGAAAGAATCGGGCGGAGACCCAGCCCATCTCGAAGCTACAACGGTCGGGTTCTAGGATATAAAAGCCTCCGACCAAGCCATGATGGAAACACAAGAGAGCAACACAGAAACAGGCAGCAAGATACCAAAAAAAAAAACCCATCGAGTACAACATCAAGCAAAAGAAATATCGAGATAACCAATAAAAACCGAGCATATACAAAAATCCAAGCAAAAAATCAAAAACAAAGCTTAAAGCTTTGTTTCGTTGAAGTCATCGGAGCGTGTAGAAGCATCGTCGAAAACACAGTCGTCAAGAAAGCGAAGAATCTCGTCATAAAAGGTAAAAAATCAAAACTTTGTGCTTAGATCTACGTCGGAGGAGGTGTTTTAGGATGTTTTGGGTTCAGATTTCGCTTCAAGGGGTCGAAAGGAAGCTTGTGGGTAAGTTTGGGGTTTTCGACCACCAGTGGTGGTTGTTGGAGTGGTGGCCGGCGGTGGCCCGAACAGTGGGTGGTCACCGGTGGGTGGCCGAGGTTTGGCCAGCTATAGGAAAAGGGGGAGAGTGTTTGGAAGAGAGGGGGTTGTTATTTTTTTATAAATGAGGTTGGAATGATTTTTTTGGGTTTTTATGGCTATTTATATGGAGAGCCTTTGTGTAATTAGCAAATTCTTAAATTATTTCCGCAGTCCCTCTAACTTTGATGTGTAATTCATTTTAGTCACCTATTTCAAATTCGCCTTTGAATTTTCAATTAATTCAATTTAATACTTCATTATATTTATTTTATTTCGAGATTTAGCCCCCTAATCTTTTATTTTTCTCTTGCAACTCATTTTTAACATCAATTTGATCCATAAGTTTCAATTTATTTCAATTTAATCCTTTAAATTTTTAGTTATTATTCTTTTTACCCTTTTAATTTTAACATATTTTTTTTCATTTTATATTGTTATTTGTAAACATTGTTTTATATTTTTTTACTTCTCTTTCAACATTCTTTTATTTTATTTTATTATTACTTTTAAAATTTAACGTTTACTTCCTTTTATTTTTTTAATTGTCTCTTAACATTTTGTGTGTGTTATTTTCTCAATTTAATCTTTTTTTCTTTTTCTCTATGATTTATTTAATGTTTATGTGTTTTTCTTAATCTAACATTTTTGACTTTTTAGGGGAAATTTTAGTCGATCAAATGTAAGTAATTCGGATTGAATCTTTAAATTTCAATTTAACTTTTAATTTTTCGCAATTAAGATAACTGGAGAGTTAAAATGGTACCGAAAAGGCAGTACAAGGGTGCAAATCCTTCCTTAAATGTAACCGACTCCCGAATCTGACATATTTCTGGTAAAACAAAGATCATGTAAGATGATAAATTAAGGTGTCCGATCAACCTAATTTTTTAAAAATGATTGGTGGCGGCTCTAACATGCGTTTATATAAGTCGAAGCCTAATTCCGGGCCCCACCCGAAGGACAGTTATGACAGCTTGGCGACTCTGCTGGGGACATGTAAGTGAGTCAGGCCAAAATTAATTTATGGTTGTCTTCTTAAGAGAAAATTGTGAGTTTAGATTTTAATTTAAACTTTTCAATCCTTATTATTTACCATTGGTTATTATTTTCAAATAAATAGTCGTACTGATGTTTTCTAATGATTTCAGATTTTCAAAAACTCCTCTCAGGCTCTATACCCGAGCTCCAAAACCTTTCATAAGTGGGGTGAAAGCGACGCCTTCGTGGGAATTTATTCTCCGTATAGGCCTAGCAAGTAACCTTCGTGATTCATATACCTTATGTCTTCGTGTGAATTTATTCTCTGTACATACATAAGGGAATGTGTCCTCTCTAGTTTAACTTGGTACACATAAAGCTTGTAATAGGCTTAGGACTGAGGGTCTGGCAAGCCCAAGGGGGCACCAGCAAGGAGAACTCGGGTACCTTTTTTAGAACCTAAACCGGGAGACTACAGGGAATTAGTTTCAAAACCTAGGATGTTTGAATTCTTTCTTGCTTTTTTTATAGTTCAAAGCATGCGAACTAGAGAATATGCGGTTAGGATTTGCTTAATAATTAACATGCGAGATAGAAATCATGTATGGGTAAGAATTAAAACATGCTGGTTAGATATCATGCGGGGCAAGATTATTTTTTACTTTCAGTATTATTTTGGTTATTATTTTACTGACTTGTTTTTCTTTCATTTTTTGTTTTCTTTTATCTTATCATTTACATCATAAAAGGGGTTTTGATCTGCAAAGAGTGTTTGTTAAACACAAATAATCTGCATTAATGGACAAAGGGGTTGTAATACAAGAGGTGAAAAACGTAGAGATCCGACTATGGTCAGAGAAGACTCAGAAGGAAAAGGGAGACAGTTTGCAAGGCAACTATGTGTCAGAACTGGTTGGTTATGCTTCTGTCAGCCTTAAGCATAACGATGTTCAAGAACTACGAGGCATTTAGGAAAGTTGGAAAGGTGACCAGAAATAGAAATTCTGTCAGCGATATGGTGATATCATACTTCTACTCCATGTCAAGATAGACGAGCCCTTAATTCGAGCCTTAATGCAATTCTGGAATCCAGGGTATATTTGTTTCACGTTTAACCAAGAAGATATGGTGCCCACAATTGAAGAATATACTACTTTGTTGCATTGTGAAGGAACTAGAATGGATCGGGTCTACACCAAGTTCATCAAGAGTCAGCCTTTCAAGAATGGGTTAGCAAAGATTATAGGGGTAGATGAAAAGTGGGTAATTGACCAGACTCAGCACAAGGTAAAGGAGAAGAAATTGCTTGGACCCACATCAAGCAATTAATGAAGAATCATCATGATGAATAGAAGGTGATTGATCTCGGCTGTGTGGAACTGTTCGAACAACTCCGAAAATATTAGCTGAAACTTTTCGTTCACCCAATCATTGTAGAAAACCTGGCGTAGGAAGATTTATAGGATGCGCACAGCTTCTTCAGGTCTGGATCCATAGTCACTTCTGGAAGACTGACGGGATTTCTTACCGCTGATTTAGCACCACTTACTCTCCTTTGGGGGAATTCCTCACACTGAAATGGCAAGAAGGCATCCCAAAATAGAAATGGTTGAAAGTTTTCACACATCTTCAGGATAAGGACATTGTCTGGAGAGCCCCTTGGTTGACCCATAGTGATATCCTTTATTGATGTGGATACTCAGAAACTATAACGTTACTTGGATTATGGGGAGGAGTCAGATATTCTCCACTTTTGGCCCTTCAACAGTGTAGGGCACACCAGTTTTTCCCAACTACACATGGGATATTTAGATCGAAATTCACATACCATGAGGATAACTACAAGAAAAGGGTCAAATATATAGTTGAATCATGGAAGAATATGTTTCGTATGGATGGT